TACAGTAATGTTCATGAGAAGACTGGGGCTGCAGCTTATTTGCAGTAGGGTAGATGGTAAAGAAAGGGGAGGAACATGCTAGTTTATCTAAGGCACAGAGTAAAACAAGCTGACTTTGAGGCACAATAAAGCGATTGTTCTTAGAAAGTCTTTAAGCCGATCAGTTAAACATGAGAAGAGCAGCAGTTCACGTGTATTTAGGTCCAATAGGATGTGGCTGGAAGACAGAAACAGAGAGCTGGAGCACATCGACAGATCTTTTAGGAACTAAAGCCACTGAAGCTCTGTCGTCCTGCCAGCCTTGTTGACAAAGTGACTTCCCGGACCACAATGTTCTCTCCTTCTCTATCTCGGTGTCTATCGCCAAAACTGTATCTCACTTTCCATCTTCTCCTGTTTATCCCTCATCCTCTCGCACAGTAAAGTACAATGCCCCATTCTTCTGTCTCAGCATATCTATGATCTCAGCCCCTTGAGTCTTGCGGTGTGAATGAGAGCCATGTCTGTTACATTTCTGTATTTTAGATTGCCTTAACGCAGTCTTGGTGAGAACATAATAGAGCCAAAAGAAAAAGATAAACCCTGTTGCACTCTCCGTTATTTGTTTTATGACATTAAGATGCCCGTTATTCACAATGTAGTGAGCTGCTTTACACCAAATCCTGATAAAACAAATAAATCTGTATTTGCAGTCTCACCCGCAGATACAAAATATATTTTATGAAGGCTGATGGAAGTGCACTAGTGTCTTTCATTTTTTAATCCACTCGTGCAAAGACACACTTAACAGTATGTCACTTAGAGCAATGGATATAATTAAAATGATAAAATGTTGTACTCCGTGTACAAAGTCGTAATTTACAGGCTGCGTTGACTATCTGGCTCCAGGTATACGTTTTCAACAGAGAGCAAGGCCTCTGAGGCTCTAAATGAAGAACAGAAGGTCCCCTGCAGACGCTAGAGTTACACACTCAGAGGAAGAAAGGGAGGGCAGGAGGGAGGGAGAGATCGACAGTTAATAAGAAAGAGAGAAAACGAAGCTGGGTTATTGAGAGGCAAACAGCTGACAGTCAACAAGGGTATGAGAGCACATGCATGGTTTGAATGTGTAATATAAACACACACAGAAACACTTTTATACTTTTCACTCTCAGCCTGGGCGTGTAATCACATGTTAGATTTCTGCTTTCAGTCTTGTGCATGTGGTGCAGTCTCCATTCTCCATAATTGTACAGTCATTTAGCAAACAGCACATTACTGTCTAAGAAACTACACATTCGCATTTATACTGCAGTTCCAGCACGTACAGGCAGAGACGATCAAAACGGCATAACTTTTCTTTCGGCAGTTTCCCGTCTTCGTAGTCCTGAACAGATGAATGATCCAGCCTTGATCCTAAATCTTTAAACCTCCTCTCCACAGCTATTTCAGATGGGGTGTTTTGTCAAATTTGACAAGCTTGCCACTTCAGCACAATCCATCATAGCACATGTGACACGACTAAACTGTTAAACTGACGTCTCATCACACCCAACAGATGTTTCGAGTCCGGTCAAGCTGAGGCCAGAGCCTGTTTGTTAGAGAGGTTGACAGTACTGCGGTGTTTAGCTTTTTCTTCTCCCATTCTCTGTCTGTCCAACCAGGACACAGCAGCTTCCTCTGTTATTGGAGGATGTCTGGCTGAATTAATCAAAAGTACACACACAGTGAAAAGCAACAAAAAAGGTATTTTCCTGACTTAGGTCGGCGTCAGACATTAGCAGAGAAAGTGAGGAAAGGAGAAAGCTGGAGGGTGGAAGAGTGAGGACAGTCTCTTTGCTAGAACATGAGATTGGGTTCCAGTGTTAAGGGTCAACTATTTGGGGTCAACAAGAATGTGCTTACTGCAGTGCAAGAGAACGAACCGCTCGGCCATCAGCCTGATGTGCTCATCCTTGATAGCGCAGCAACATTAATGACTATGAAGTAAAACCCCAGAAACAACACTATGGAGCATTTTGTTTCTTTCCTCTCTCTTGCACTCACTCTGAAGCAGCACCTAACCAAGAGCTCAAGTGGGTGTGCTAGAGACACGTTAGCTGAACACTTGTAGGACTAAAAAGAGTTTAATTTAGATGCCAAGCCCTCCAGCTATAGACCAACACCATAATCAAGTGAACCCACAGCGAGAGAGAGAGACACGGGCAGACAGAGAAATGAAGAGTGAGAAACGGAGGGAAAGACTAAATCTACAAAATGAGGGCGAGAGGAAGCAGACTCAGTGAGAGGAGGAATGTTATCTGCAAAGGCCTTTATCAAAACTCTGTCTCCTGCCAACACCCCTGCAGGGCATTGATCTGGTGTGCATGCCTTTTCCGCCACTGTGGATACTGCACTCTTTGAGAGAAAGAATGGCATATAACCGAACAAAACAACATGCAGGATTGCCAGTGGTCTCCTGTATTTATATAAATGATGAGGAAACATATTAGGATTTGATGCTCAAGGTATAAGCAGCAGAGCTCAGGGATATCGTGTAGATAACTGTTCAAGTCTGTGTGGCAGACTTTGTGCAGGGTCGGAAAAGTTCCCAGATGGTGAGGCTTGCCAAACTCGCTCCCTCACTCTGGGTGTTGGCAATATGGAGAGGAAATCAGAGAGTTAGTGAGAAAGAACACTTTATCCTGCCAAAACAACATTTAATAGAAAACCGTGAGAAGATGCAAAAATAATATGTTTTATAATCACAGTCCTACAATTACCTTTTCTGTATTATTTTTGGTGGAGCTGGGTGGTGTTCCCAATCTGTGTTGTGACATTAAATAGTGGCTGGTTAAAAAAAACTTACTCTGCAAACAGAATAATAAAACATCCAGCAATATGAGCCAGAAATATCCAGTTTGAGCTTCCACAGAAGTATAAAAGCTAAGACTTCCCAGAAAACATGACATGGGATTTCCCTGGAATATCTTCACAGACCAACAATGTAATACAATTACGATGAATATATGAAATATAAGATAGAAAAAAATAGTGAAAGATAGATAGAAAACCGGTTTTCCTCTTCACTAACATTCATTTCTGTTGCTCTTTACAGGGCTACAGTAACGTTGCTCTGCGCATGGTGCCATGTGTTAGCACATGTTTTGCTACAATTACTCTTTCATCTAAATTGCCTTCAAAAGCAATTTGTCTTCAAAAGCAATTAAACATGGCAGTTACAGACCTCAGACACACAGTTGAAATACAGTGCACTCTCTGCCCTTATTTCCTTACTACCACCATGTTATCACTAGGACATGTTTTTTGTTTATAGTTATCCAGACTGTGTACAGAAATAACAAGAACCCCAAGGAATCTAAAATTGTTATAGTTGTAATAATATATCTTACCTAAAATCAATCACATCATATTTGCATGATTTTACTTTAATAATAAAATAATAAAAATTGAATTAATGATTATAGGAGTAATATTGAATAACACAATTCGTCCTGTACCACTGTATAATAGAAATGCTGCACTCAGGCCTCTTTCCCTACATCCCCCCCCCCTCCCCCCCCTCCCCCCCTCCCTCCTCCTCCTCCTCCCCCCCCCGTCTCTTTCCTCAATCCAAAAAAGGGGAGAAAGGAGGCTGGCTCCTTAACTTTATGGGCTTGACCCCCCTGCTCCCAGTCATTTCCTCGGTTGGGACCGGAGCGAGCACACACGGTGACGGTCCTTAGTGACGGAGGAGCTGCGGCTGGATGCACGAGGACCACAGAGAGACACTGCAAATATCCCTCAATGTGATGAGAATATAAGACTTTTTTTTAAATTCTCTAGGATAAACTGACGCACAGAAGGAGACACCTTGATTTTTTGGGGGAATTAATATCGTGTTTTTGATCCACAAGGTAGGGGTGATGGGTCTTTTAAAATTATGTAATGTGTTATTCAGTCTTTTAATATGCCACTTTTTTCTCCATAGACTGAATTTCACTTGACAATATAATAATAATAGGACAAGTATGCCTACTGTGCCTTCATGTTAGTTTATTTCAATACACAGACACTTTGAAGTATTAGATTTAACCTAATGCATGTTGTTATATGTGTTCACATTTTGTATACTTTGCTAAGATTCATGTCGCCAACTTTTATACTTTCAGTTAAAGTTCTCACAGTGTTTGCAGTGTGTACTTGGGTAGGTTATTTTATTTATTTTCCTCCTCACGAAATACTATCCGCATCATATAATACAACCTGTTGCATAGGACTTTTGATGCTGTAGTTATCCGATCAGCTGTTACTCCTGAGTTACAGCAGATGGCGCAGCCAGTCTCCGCAGAGCGCTCACGGTGAGCGGTCATTAGTGGCAGAGAGGATAATTAAGCAACACTTTTTCTTTCCACTCACTTTATCCTCTAATCAACGCGACCCTATTCTCTCTTATCAGACTGTAGATTTATGGGCTCTATAAAGTCTATCCCTGCATCATCATTTAGGGAGAATAATTATAGTGAAACGTGCCAATCAAGTAAATAGCTCCTTCTGGTTCTCATCTGCGCTACCCTAATATTTAGGCTCTGTGTACACAGCATTCCGATTTTGAATTATGTCTGGGAATTTGAGAAACGTTATTTGCCAGGGAGATAATTACAGCTTGCTGTGTTTTTGTGTTCACTAATATAAGGCGGCAAACAAACAAGCATTTTATTGACTCTCTCTCTTTTCCCATACTCTCCTGTGCTGATGAGTTCATGAGCAGCATTTGTCAACTACCGTTAGAGTGTATAACTGAGTCACCTTACTGTAAAAAGACATAGCAAACAGTGTCTGACTGTGGAGTGAAAATGATGGTGTACATCTGTCTGTTTCCGGACTTTCCATCCTGCCTGCCTATTAGCCAGGCTGTGGGTTGACCACCTACACCTGCCTGTCTGCCTGTCTCTCTACAGTAACTACCTGTGTGTCATCACAGTTTGGTCCAAGTTTAAACTTAAACTTAATTATTTCTCTGTATCTTCATTGATCAGTTT